GCGCAGCCAGCACCGACTGCTCGGCTTTCATACAAGCCCATTAGCTTTTGGGGTCATTTGTAGTCCACAATTTCATGTGTCTGAAATCGATGGCAATAATGTTGTGTTTGATCCAAGCAACCTATGTCTCCTGATTAGTGTAGTTGTGTTTTGTTTAAGCAGCCCTCAAGTATATGATTGTTGGGATAAATAAAGGACTGAGAATTTCTCCAATCATAGGACCAGTAGCCCCACATCCCAAGAGTTAATGCAAATTTATCCAAGAGTGAGTACAATTTCGAAGCCTTTTAAACGTGGTTAACATTGATTTATTCAGCCTATCAACTGACATAATTTTTATACATCTCATAGCACTTATCTTCAGCTACTGCCTCCACAAAAAGCACAATAGTTAGGCCTTACCGTGCCGCTGAAGTAGGAGGGAGTCTTATTAGCAAAGTGTTTGACTAATAATTTATTTTGTAGACAGACGTGCTGAGACGAAGTGTTTAGTTCAGCTCTTTGCTCCAGAACAAGGATCGGTGATTAAGTCGTGTTTAAGAAGAGATTACTCTCGTGTTCCTGAGCCATCTTCTGCCTTCTGTACTGTTCAGTGGAAATGAGGCTGCTCAGGATTGAATGTGTGCAGTGCTGCAGACCCCCCAAACTTCTGGGTTCCCTCATCACAGCGAGCAACAGAGGCTAACTTGCCTCCCCCAAAATATTGTGAGGCTGCCACCTTCACGTTTAGAGCTCCCTGTTGCTGGCATGAGCAAGGGAAGGGTATCCTTGCACCTCTGGCTCCGCTTTCACATGTGGGATCCTAAAGTTCAGAAAGCTGGTCTCGGATGTTTGTATCCAGATCTTTGAATTAAATTGTGAGACACAGCTGTCCTGTGCACCTTGTAGGGAAAGACCGAACCCTCCTCAAGCTGCTTCCATTCAGGTTTATTTTCCTATTTTTATTTTTTTTTTTTTTTTTTTTTTCTTTCTTTTTATTTTTCATTTTCAATGTATAGGATGGATGGTCCAGGGCTCAGGGCTCTGGACCATGCCCACAGAGGAGCCGCAGGAGTTGAGGGTGCTGCTGCTACATGGTCTGTGGCTGTCAGAGGTCCTCACCCTCAAGGAGTATAAAAGCAATTGTCCCACACCGTAGGTAGCTCACCTGGCTGAACGTAGGGGGTTGATGATTTGGGCAGTTTGAGATGTTTTTGTGGTGGTGCTGACCTTCCCTGTTGGCTGGTGCTGCAAGAGGGCATCATAGGGGGGGAATCAGGTGGCAATGACCCCGCTCTTCCTGCAGGTGCATGCGAGCATCGCCAGCCTCTTTCTAGCTTTCAGCTTTCTGCAAGACGTGTTCCTGCAGTGAATACAGCACTGCACTGGGGTAAGACATGTCCCAGGGTCCTTTCAGGTGGGCATCAAGAAGTTCAGAAAGGTCTGTACTGACAGAGACAGTCAGAAGCTGTGCCTTGATTTGGGAAGAAGGAACAGTAAAGCAACACAATGAGTGGGATTTTCCTAAAAGTAAATTACGTTTTCGGTGTGTGATCTTTTGCCATGCTTGGAAAACCCAACGTACAGGAGCGTTGGCTCAAGATCTGGGGTGCTTAGGTGCTGGTACAAGGGAAATGAATTAGAACGTGCTTGGTAATTAAAAGGCTGGTCATTAACGGGTCTGTGCTGAGGTATAAATGTTCAGAACATGACCTGGAATGGGACAGGCTGTGAGTTTCAAAAATAGCACGGTAATGTAGAAGGAGGATTTCCACTGGAAGTTGGAGGGATTCGTATTCCTAAATCAGGAGCTCCGACCACTCGCTTTGCTGTGCATGACCCCACCACATCACCCCTCTGTCACACGCCGGGGGGCTGCAGGCACGGCCACATCACAGATAGGAAGGGTGAATCCAGAGGGCAAGGCTTACGGTGGGGAGAGCAGTGGCTGCTGGTAAGCCAACCGTGACTTTAGAGCATCACCAACCTTCCAAATGTGATGACAATTCCTCTGAAGGCCAGCAGTGTGAGTGGTGGATCAGTCTGCTCAGAAATACAGACTCGTGCACCACGCAGAGCACCTGCACTGGTGGTGACCACCAAGAGATACTGGCCTGGGCATCTGCAAGTGAGCAGCACTCTTAGTAGAACAAATCAGCAGGTTTGTAGCAGAATTTGTCCAATGCCTGAAAAAAAAAACCCGAGCCCTGTTTATCTCTGAATAGGGTTCAGTGAGAAGCCAAACCCCACTGGTACCTTGGAAGGAAGAAGAGCTGGAGGTGCTGATGTTTCTTCCACGCTTCTGTGAAGTTGAAGGGTTGGCTGCGTGCCGCTGCCTCCTCCAGCCAGCTGCACGCGTTTATCAAAGCGAAGACTTCCATGATTTAGGGTTGTGTGAAAGGGGTGAGATGATGTCAGGCAAACAAATTGCTCCTTGTCTAGTGGGAGGTCAGTCTGACTCTCCACCAGAGGCTGAGATGATTCCCCGTTTGCTGTACTAGGAGCAGAAATAAGCACCAGAGCCAGACCTTGGCCAGCAGCATCGCGCTATTTTGGGAAATACTTTCGAGACTGCTTGGAGGTTGCCTCTTCCAGCTGATGACCCATCCCTTTATGCACGAGAGGTGAAGAGATTAACAAACCTTGATGAGGGCAATACAAGCTCAGCAGTTGCTCAGTTGCAAATCCATTATGACCGCGAATCAAGTGGGTGGAGAACTGGTGCTTTGAGTAATGTATTGCCTCTTGTGGCACTGGAAACCCTGTCGATTATTCTCAGGTGAAAAGCTTAGTGCTTTTATTTATCTTTTATCTATTTTTTTCCCCAAAAGGAAAAGGCAGAATCTGTAAAAGATGCTTCAGAATCCAGATGGGAATACTGTTCTAGCTCTGCCTAAATAGTGGGGCAGCTTAAAAATAAGTTACAGGAGTTAATATTAATTTCTGGTGTAACTAAGGAGGAAGTTGACAGGTGCATAAATTGGGGAGAAAACAACAAAAAAAATATATTATAAGAAAAGACTAGTTTTGGTACAACACCTCACCACAGGATACGAGCAAGAGCAGTTACTCCAGGGGCTTCCTCCTGCTTGTATGTGCACAGCTGGGGCCTCTGAGGACGGGGCTTGGTTTGGAAGAGTTGAAAGGTCGCGTCAAATTGATTTAGCACCTACAAGTGCTGTTGGTATGCCGCTTAGTCCCTAATCTGTGAGGTAGAGAGCAAGAAGCTCGTGCTATTTGCTCATCTAAAAAATGTGTTTCAATCCCCTCCCTCCCCCCAATTTACTGCATTTATGAAGTAGAAATTTAGCTTGATGTCTGTATTTAAAATAAACCTGTCTTGACAAGAAAATGAAGGCTTCTCTTTTATTATAATATATACTAACAATGTCCTGAAATGTAAATAAAGTCTTCATCTCTGTGTTAATATACATATTTTTTGCATTTAATTTCCATGTGGTGGCACAATGCTGAGATCTTGAGTGAGTAGCACACTAGGGGGACAAGAAACGCAGTACAAAGAGCACCAGATACTGTAGTTTGCTGCCATCTCATAAAGTCCTGTACAAAAAAAAAAGGTACCCATACCAAAGGTATTCAAGTTGGAAAATTAAATGCAAAGTTCTTTGTTCTTAAGTTTTCCTTGTGAAGTAGACCATGCTGTGCTATGTGAAGAAAAGACAGTCTGCTTTCAAAGTGGGTAAGGTAGTCTGCAGGGAGAGAGAATTTGCAAGTGATGGAAGTATGTGAATCGTAAAACAGGCAGTAATACAAAATCCGAACACACATAAAAAGCTTAATCACAATCTATGTATAGATTTTACATCTCGGGAAAATAACGCAACATATTGCTTCTCGGGGACATCTCTGAATGATAGCCTAGGTTTGTACGAGAAATCAAGATTCTCTAACAGTTCATTCCTGGCAATAAAGTAAGTGTCTTCATTTGGAACATTACCATATTCCTCATTTAAGCACTTCGGGACTTTCAGCCCAAGGAGAGCAGTAGCAGCACTTTCACTGCTGCCAGGCAGGTGACCATCAACAGGCGGGAGGAGCACGTGCCACGAGCAACGTTTTCACTAACCTGCACACCCACAGTAAGCGGGTTGTTGACCACAATGATGTTCAAGTTTCAGATACTGGAGAAAGTTGCCAATTAGTCCACCAATACTTTGATTCTGACCTGTAGTTTTATAACTGAAGATGCCCTGCTCTTACAAACCAGTGATTCAAAAAGCCTGGGGTGAGTACTGGTTAATCAAAAAGCACTCCTCTTCTCATAAAAGCTTTTGAGATATTGAAGTCTTCCTTAAAATATAAACATTTGTCTGTTTAATAAGAAATGAAGACTTCCACCACAGACTGGACTAAGCACTAGCAATACCTTAATTCATAAAATGGCAGGAAGGATGGGCCTCATAATTTTGGACCTAGCACCTAGGTAATTTTGGTGATTTAAGACAACGACATTACTTTACTCGGAATAATTGTCATCCTCCTCAGTGAAAAATTCTGTTAGCCTAAGCAAATATTGATAGTGGTGTATAAAGTGATCTCATTCAAGATACAATGCTGTGCAGTGCCAACTCAGATTAAATCTAAGCAGAAGTAAAGCAGGAAAAAAAAGAAAAAAAAAAAGCTACATCCCCTAGGATAATCAGAGGAAGGAGGCTTGCAAAAAGAAAACTAAAAGGATCTTGGCAGGTATCACCCCCAGAAAATAATCCTGTAAGTGCATCTGATGGCTGTCTATCTATACATCACGTGTGCAACCACTAGGAGGAAGAGGAATTATTTAAGCTACAGAAGAGTGCTGGCATGAGAAAGGCGTCATATAAAGCAGCTGTTAATAACATTATGCTAAAAGTTGCACAAGCCTTGGAGAGCAGCACGGCTCTGGAATGCACTTCCAGAGTAGTGGGAGCGACGTCTGACTACTTCTAACATGGAGCTGGTTAAGTTTATGAAGGGAATTCCTGCGTCCTGCATAAAGTCATTGTCATGATAATAAGAACATATTAAATTTCAGTACTTTATTTATTTAGTGTCTTTGATCCAAAGCACTTATATAAAAAAGCAATAATGAAAATTCCTTTCAACCAGTACAATAAAAGTCATAATTCCTTGGGGTATTTCATTTTCTTTAGTAAAACGCAATTTGGACACATTCCATTCAATACTTGCAGAAATGACAGAGCATCAGCCCTACGAGTAATAAATCTAGAACATAAGATAAGCTATAGGTTATTGAAATGATGTGTTGCAAAGTTTGGAATCAACCTGTGCAATGCTAAACTCACAACAGCTGAGGAAATTTGTGACTCTTTGGCAAGTTTACAGGTCTCCTCAAATAACTTCCCTGAAAGTCACTGGTTTTGGACTCCGTGAATCTACTGCTCGTGAAACTGAGATAAACCCATTGCTTAGGGTTTAAGAGAACCTTAGCGAGGTTCTCTGCAGGCCCCAAAGCAACAGACCCGATGGGGGCCGTGTTGGCCTCGACACCAATGGGAGATTTTGCCTCCCTGGCAGTATTTAACCTGCCTGGAGTGGGTGGATGTGCTACACAAACCCTTCTCTTCCTTCTCTTGTTTCTTTCACAGAGTTTCAATCCAACAGGTGCTGTGCCATGTTTTGGGTGGGTATTTGTAGGTGTATGATAGTTTAGACTCATGCAATACGAAGAAGGGATAAGACAATTGTATTTGTGCCTGTGAAGACCCAGTAAAGAACTTGAACCAGCCTTCCAGAAGTAAGAAATCTTAGCCAAAAATCCCAAGTTTGGATGTCCTAATTTGTGTTATCCAAGTCAATCTTCAGGGCCATGGATAAGGCTTTTTTGACAGTTTGGAGATACTAAGCAACTTCTTGCCTACTGACTTCATGGCTTGTACAGGCTATGCTGAAATCTGTTCACATTTTATTTTGGTAAGTCTAGTAAGGGACCTGTTTTCCTCACAATTCCTGGCTTATTGACCTCCAGGGAGGGTGTTCAAAGGGAATTTTTTGGGGAGAAGTGGGGTGAGGTATAAGTTATTTCCCACTGTGTATCCTTCGACAGATCACTGGAATCTGGTCCTGGGTGCTCAGCTTTCTGGTTTTAGGTGGAGCTGATACAATCACCACCACCAAAAGATCCAGACCAGACAGCAACCCCTAACAGTCCAAAAAAAGGATATATCCATACCATATTTGCTTTATTCTGCCAGTTGGGTGGCTTTAATTTGGGTGCCACTCCTTGTTACGGTATGTAAGCACAGGCTTCCAAACAGGACTAATTTAGCTCTAGTATTTTCTGTCCTAACCAGTTTTAATTTTTCTGAACATCTCTAGTCTTCACATGAAAAAATATAAATAAAAAAGTAGCAAAATGTGTAATAAATGGGGCAGAAAAATTGCAGGATTTGAAAAGAAATGCCGCTCTGCCCTCTGAGTGCCAGGAGTTTGTTTCATAGCAGAGCTCACACCAGCAATGTGAAGGCTCTACCCGTTGGCTACAAGTGTTTGATCTCTGTACAATTACGTAAGGGAAAAGGCTGATCACTCAAACAACAAGTTTATGCAGATTCACGGTTACTCTTGAGAACCCAGATGATCTGCTCTCTTAGAAGAAAAAGACTTGAAAAAGTACAGGCCAGCCCTTGAGAGGATTTAAACCGGCTACGTCACAAAACCGGGTGGGAGGATCTGCCCACAGTGAGTGCAGTATTAAGCTCTTTTTCTGTATCTGTTCTTTTCTTAGGCCCTTACAGTCTTAGCTGTAACTTGTGAGTTCTTTTCAGAGGGAAAATGTGACTTGCAGGGTATTTTTTTTTCCCCCTTAGAGTTTCCTTGGCAGAAAGCGTAATGGAATTGGCTGCCATCAACACCTGCTTTCAAGCTTTCCTGATAAAATTAGATTTTGTATCTCAGCATCACATATGGCAACTTTATAATTAGTCTTTTTGCAGTATATGAATGTCAGTTCCTAAAATGCTGCCTGTACTGTTCATGTGGGAATATTTCTCTTCATTAAACAAATCCAGATTTTCCACTGGAGCTCCTAATTGTTGAAAACCCACGTTTTTGTGTGGCTAATCTCAGAACCATTTTGATGGGCTGAAACGCAGAGCATTTCACTGGAACCAAGCGGTGAGCACATCCCTTCTGAAAAGAGAAACCTGAGATGTCTTCATGCCCCTCTGCACCTACAGTCACTTGAGGAAGTCTTTGAATATGCAGCTATCTGAAAATGAGGGTTGGGCTTCTCCAGAGGGCTCGGTGTTGACCTAATGTTGGAAACAGAGGTAGGTCTATGCTGAGGAGCTTCTAAAAAGTACTACTGTACACAGCATTTCAAAACAAGAACACCCAGTTTTTAACATGTGTGCTAAAGAGTAAGCAAACTTCCACTGAAATGTGAAGCTCAGAGGTGTGTTCAGACACGTGACGAGCAGAATTACCAGTCAGAAAGAAGGGGAAAAGTGTTGCCATGTCAGTGAGTCACAGGTGATTCTTTAAAAATGGTTATAAAATGCATCAGAAGTCCTACACTTGCCTCGTGATGGTCTTGAACTAGTACAGATACCAGTATAGGTGATAGGTGATTTGTTCATCCCTAGTTTCACAGCTGAGAATTTTTATTCCACTCGGGTACGCTCATTTCTCTGCTCAAATGAGGAAGTGCACAAAGTAGCAAATCATCACTATACTGCTAGCACTAATGCCATGGCAGTGGTAACACTTGTATGAAAAGGTCAGCATTCAGTACCGATGCAACAGGATGAGGATGTGCAAACTGTCAACTTGTAATATAAATTTCTTTAGTTTCTCAAGTGCAAAGTTAGTGCAGTGTCAGCAACATTACCCTCTAGGGAAAAAAAAAAAAAAAAAAAGGACAAATAGGAAAACATTCATAAACATAGCTCTTGATAGCTCTCATGCAAACTGCTGTCAAACTTGTACACTAATGCAGTGAATCGTTCAGGCTCAGCTCACTGGGGGTACTCCTGCTCATATTGGTAAGACTGGCCATAAGGGATTTAACTTTATAAGCATAGTAGTCCCTTAAATTGACCGATGGAACTTCTTTCATGCCATCGCCAAAATCACAGCTTCTCATGGCACTCTCTAACTGCTTCTGACGCCTGTAGAAGTGGGAGAATTTATTGAAGATCAGTGTAATGGGAAGCACTACCACTAGGATACCGGCTAGGATGCATGCAGATGCCGTCAACTTGCCAGCAGTGCTCCCTGGCACAACATCCCCGTAGCCAACCGTGGTCATGCTAACCGTAGCCCACCACCAACAAGCAGGGATGGTGGCTAACCCCTCGTTCTCTTCTTTTTCAATGGTGTAAGCCACAACTGAGAAAATGGAGATGCCAACAGAGAGGTAAAGTAAAAGAAGCCCTACCTCTCTGTAGCTATACTTCAGGGTGGCTCCAAGAGACCTGAGACCTGTTGAGTGTCTAGCAAGCTTTAAGATGCGAAAGATCCTCATGAGTCTCAGGACTTGTGCAACCCTGCCTAAATTTGCCAAGGTCGGACTACTTTCCACCACCAAGTTGACAATTAAGGTAATATAAAATGGTAGGATAGACATTAGGTCAATCAAATTCAGGGCATGCTTGAAAAATTTTAAAAAGTCAGGAGCTACTGCAAATCTCGCCACCAGTTCAAAAGTGAACCATGCAATACCAAAGTGTTCCACGATTTCAAAGCGAGGGTCCTCCTCGGGGGTCCCGTTGCTGTCAACAATCTGAAAGTCTGGGAGGCTGTTCAGGCACATGGTCACGATGGAGCCCAGCACCACCACTATTGAAAGGACACTGAAGATTCGGCTTAAGACTGAGTAGCCAGGGTTATCCAAAGCCAGCCAGAGCTGCCTCCTGATGTTTCCGAAGGGTTGTTTGTCAAACTTTGAGGCATCATTGTAGAATGCCAAGATCTCATCAAAAGACGATGTGGTACTTTCCTGGTCACTTTGTTCCTCCCATTTCTCTTGGTCTGGCTCCATTTTCCTCCCATGGTAGCTGTAACTGCAGCATGAGTCTATAAAGAATTCATTGATTCCCCAGTATTCAATCTCCTGGCTGAAAGAAAACACACAGAGTTCACCCATCACATGGAGCTTGCCAGTGTTATAAAAGTGTAGCACATAAGGGAAGAGCTCAGGGTTCCTGTCAAAATAAAATTCATTCTTGGTGTCATCATAGTCGTCGCAGAGCTCCAGTATCGACTCCTTCGAGTGGCAGCTCAGCAGTTTGCCCAGTCTGGTCTCGGGGAACCTTAGCAATGTGTTGGATCTCATCTTTTTCTTAAAGCCTCCAACGTTGATGCTGATCTCATTGTCTTCGAAATTTGCCTCAGATAAAGCCTTCAGACTCTGCCCTGTCATAGTGAGCTCCTTCCAGGGGGGTACAGGGAGTAAAAACCTAGGATACGATTGCACAAAAAAATCAGCAGAATGGGCAAATCTACAGCATGTTCACCCATTGACTTTTTCTCTTGAGAAGCCTGGCGTGCGAGCGAGGGGCGGCGTAGGGAGGAGGCGAGAGCCTGGGGGCGGCGGGGGGAGGGCGGTAGGCGAGCTGGGCGGGCGGGCGGCGGGATTTGCTTTCTTCTTTCTTTAGTCGGCGGTAGGGATGAGGGCGGGTGCTGCATTCGAAGTCGGAAGGAAGGAAGGAATGCAGCCTGAAGGAAGGCCGGCCGGCTTAGGCAGGACGGAATGCTTCGGACGGAGGCCGGCCGTCCGGCCTTCCTTCCTTCCTTCTTCTAATTTCTTCCTTTCTTCATTTTCTCTTCTCTTTCTTTCTTCTTTCATCTTTTCTTTCTTTCCTTTCATCTTTGTCTTTCCTTTCCTTTCATCTTTATCTTTTTTCCTCTCCTTTCCTCTCCATCTTCTTTCCTTCCTTCCTTCTTTCCTCCTCTTTCTCTTTCATCCGTCTTTCATCTCCTTCTCTTTTTCTTTCATCTCTTCCTTCCATCTCCCCCATCTCCCTCTCATTCATCCCTCTCTTTCTCCCCTTTCATTTCCCTTTTTTTCCTCCTCTCCTTCCCTTTACCTTTCCCCCCCTCTCCCCCTTCCCTCCCCTTCCCCTTCTTTCTCCCACCGAAGCCCCCCGGGGCTCCCCCTTGTCTCCGCGCCCCGCTCTCCCCGCAGCACCCTTTCCCCTACCACCCCCTTTCCCCCCCACACCTCCCTCTCCTACTCACCCCCGCACCTCTCCTTCCCCCCTGGTCCCCACCGCCCCCATTAACCCCATTTTGGGGGCTCCCTCCCTACCGTGCTCCCTCAGCGGCCGCGGCGCCCTGACGGCCCCCGCCCGCGTCCCGCCATCGCCGCCTCCTCCTCCCGCCGCGGTGCTGAAGGGACAGCGGCGGCGGCGGCGCTGCCTCTCGTCATGGCGACGACCCCCCGCGGGGGCCGCCCTCTCCTCCCTTCTTCCCCGCCGCTCCGACCTCACCGCCTGGGGAGGGGCGGCATGGCGCAGCCGCCCCTGGGCGGGGGGGTGGGTGTGAGGCTGCCTGGCCGGCTGTGGGGACGGGGGGAGGTCTTCTGCAGCCTCCCCCCCCCCCCCGTCCCTACACACACACACACACACACACACCCCCAATGCCTTGGGGTACGGGTGTGCCTCGCCCCCCCTGGCCGCCGCCCACCGCCTGTGGCTGGGGATGGAGCTCAGCCCCAGGAGGCGTTGGGATCGGTCATTGAGGCTGGGGAGATCTCCGAGATCACCTGGTCCAACCACCAGTGTCACCCACTGACCCGTGTCCCCAAGCACCACGTCCAACCTCTCCTTGAGCACCCCCAGGGACGGTGACTCCACCACCTCCCTGGGCAACCCGTCCCAACGCCTGACTGCTCCTTCTGACAGAAATGTCTCCTCGTTTCCACCCTGAACCTCTCCTGGTGCAACTTGAGGCCATTCCCTTGAGCCCCACCCACAAGACACCCCCTGGTATTAAAGCACAGCCCTGTAAGAGCCCAAGTAACTTCAAAGAGATATGGGGTGGGACAGGTCAGTGATGGTGTCGTGTCTGCCATCAGCTGGGTCTCCAGAGCCTGCTCAGACCTCCTACATGAGGTGCCATCAGCACCCCACGGTGTCCCACTGACACCGTATGTGGCTGGAGCCCCACGTCTCAGGGACACTCCCACAGGGCCACAGCACCCTCAGCCCCCCAGGGATGCCGCTTCTTGCAGGCACTGCCCCTGCTTGCCTTCTGCTGCCTGATGTTTGGCTCTCCTGCTGGTGGGTGCCTGGGATGGAGGCTGTCCTGCTGCCCCCCCTCTCCCCTGGGTGTCTCTCCTTTTGCTGTAGATGCCCCAGGGCCGGGCTCTGGGTCCCAGCAGGCTTCACCGCATGCCCGGTGGCATTTCACGAACCTCTCCTGCTTCCCATCGGCTGCACAGTTAAGTCCGTGTGTGACAGCCTCCTCGTCTCAGGGCTGATTAACCCATCACTGGGGAAGCACTGATTATACCGGCTCTTAATGCCCAGGGGCAGGGATGGCAGGACACAGGGCTGGGAACCAGCACAGTCGGGCTTTCTGAGCTGGATGTCCCCCCTTGCTCCCCAGGGCTCGGCTAAATCACAGAATCTTCTCTGCTTCAGTTTCCCACTCACCATTAGAACAAAAATAACTCATGTTCCTTAGTGATGTTGCAAGGAATAGTGAGCTACTGCTGACAGTGCATTCAAGCAACGTCTTTTCACTAGCTCTGCACTATCCTAGATATCTCGCGGGGCTTGAAACATATTGAATTTGAAAAAGATGTATTTTTCATTACTTTCTTTCTTAGTTTTAAATTAGATTTTTTGCCCCCTAATGCTGCTTTAGAATAAATTGAGTGGAGATATGCTTAGAGGATTTTCAAGCTTTTGCAAGTGTCCTCTCCTTTTAAGCTACTTGGCTACAAAAAAAATTAATATATATATATGTAGGCAGCCTCATACTCATTTCAGGAAATGCATTTATCCACCTCTGTTCTTATTCTTTCCCTGGAAAAGTCACCGGTCACTCTCCATTTCTAACCTGGGATATTTCTGTATTTTCTCATTAAATGGCACAACGAAGTTCATGCAGAGATGCTGGAAATAACTTCAACAGCAAAGTAATATCACTGTGTAAGGCTACAACTCCTCCAAGGCTAATATAGCCGCTCCTGTAATTAGGGCTAATTGGCTCAGCCAGAGCATTTTCATAATGAGGCTACGATGCTGCTAGCACCCAAGGTAGTAATCCAAAATTGATCTGAACGTTCCTGCAAGGCATGCACTCTGCTCCACAGCCACCCGCTATCGCTGACACAGTGCTTTTGCCTTTTCCAGCCCTAAGAACAGGACAAATCACTGCAGACACGCTCACATTGGTGGAATCTAAGGCAAATGATCCACTTTGGTATGTCAAAAGGAAGCAGATAGGTCATTTTTTTTTCTGAAGATGAGCTAGTGATGTATTGGAAAAGAGTGATGTTCGGGAAGGACTAGTAATAAATCAAATAAATACAAAAAAATGGCTTTGACTTGGCATAAGCTGTTTGAGACTGTGTGAGAGGGATGGGGTCTGTTTTATTGATACACATGGTACCATGTTATTTAAGGAACATGAGAAAATGCCAGCGCTATGTGAAGGCATGAAGGTGCTGGTGCCTGGCTGGGACTCCTGTGGCATGCTTCCTATGGCTATATGCCCTGCCTTGGACTTGTAGTGACCCAAACTGTGACAAAATGGGGAATTATTGCCATGCTGGCGACAAACTGGGGGTAGGAAGCTGCCACCTGGACATGTTGCCCGTGTCCGGCCCTGTTGGCAGCCCCACACCTGCACTACCCTGCAGGGAGTTTAATGCTGACAGGGGTGTGTGGCACTGATAACCTGGGTGCCTTGTCAGCTTTGGAAGAAGTGAAATGGCTCCTTCTGCAGCCTTAATTAAATATTGAATAGGATCTAAATGAAGATATTGGACCTAAGTCAGTGTTTTAATCAGCACTTCCACTGGCTGGTGGATAGATTCACTTTGGACATAAGGCCACAAACATCTATTAGGCTGGAGGTGGGAAGTCTGAAATTAAGATTTACTGGAAGATCATCCCCCTTCGGTCCTGGAACCAGACTGAAACTTACTGTTCTTGCTGACCAGTTCCTTTTGCACCAGATAGATTGGAAAATCCTGGAGTCTTGATGTATTAAAGATCAATAGACACAATCTGATTTTCTTTGCAAAGCATCACAGACAGCTGGGAGCAAAGCTAAGATCTTTTCTTGACATCATTCCTCCTACCTCAACCATTGACTGTAGCCAACTGGTAAATATATTTATAAATATTTATTTACGTATATATTTTTGCACATAATGCTCATTTAAATACTGGAAAAGGACTGTTACAGAATATTGCCAAGGCAAAAAGAATGAATAAGTTGATGAGAGATTTAAACAATTTCATCCCTCTCTGGATTCTTACACAGATGATGTGAGTACAGCCAGAATTGGCAGAGCCCCCATCTGACAGGAGGTATGAAGAGGAGGGTTTGGTCCAAATTCGCCTTGCTCTTACCCTCTCATGTCAGCAAGGTGGCCAATCTCATAACTTTTAGCTGCTGATGATCTGTGGCCAGCTTTTTTGAACTGAAGTTTTCAAGAAGCCAAGTCTAGCCCATCTGTAGGATCTTTCAGCTGTTCTTGGAAGAACGATGTCAAACCTCCCTCCTGTAACCCCGGGCAGAAGTGCAGTGCCATTTGCTCATGAACCTGCTCATTATGTAAGTGTCCTGACAGGCAGTCCTGCTTTCCTTGGGAGGCAAAGGCTTTCTGTGAGCTGTTGTGGCATTTGCAGTATAAAGCTGGGGAGGGAAGGTGAGTCAAATGCATTACTAAGCTCGAAGTTCACAAGGCAGTGGCAGTGATGTCTGAAAACAAACCTCTGATGTGACAAAGTGAAACTCCTGTGAACCACAGAAAGGCCATCTGGCCGCCGAAGGAAATGAACCACGCAGCCTGCATTTCATTTTGCCTGACAGCGGCTCTACAGTGGCAAATCCTGATCATTTGCGGTGCTCAGACTGCATGAGCAATGAAGGTTTGCTGTGATGACTCTGCTGTCCCCTGCCTTTTGTTGAGACTTGACCTGCTTAGTCACCGCTGTGCCCGCAGCACCTGATGCTTGACTACAAGGGACACTTGATAATATTTACCTCTGCAAGCCCTGTGGGCAGGCAGCGCTGTCTTCCTCAGGGAACTCACCATACCCTGGAGTCATGGAGTGCAAGGCAAGAAAGGATCTCTGGCTTCCACTTAGTACAGCCTGTGGAATTTCAGCTTTTTGTCCCCTACTGAAAACTGGAGTCTGAGATGGGTTGAATGAACCAAGCCTACAAACCCGACTGAAAAATATTAGAGGAGCCTGCAGTGGGTATGTTTACACAAGCATTCTGCTTGGGATTAAGGTTCTGCTTTTGAAGTAATCAGTGCTGTGATTTGGTTTACACTGAGGCTGAGAACTGCACTGCTTTTGGATAAAAATGTCCCAAAAGCTGAGCTGCTATGTATGTCTAATGCAGTCCAACACAAATGAATATTCGGTCCACAAGACTAACCTAGAGCTACTCCAACTAACCCCTGAATCATCTATGGCTTGCACATAATATCCTCAGCACCAAGTTTTTTCATTTTATTGAGCTGCTCTGAATGAGCCACACCAGTTGTGAGTGTATATATAACCAATGCCTAGCTCAGGTGTAGGTATCTGTACCGTAGGTATTCTATGTTAAAGGAGAGACATGGTTGTACTTTGGAACTGTAAACTATTTCCAGTAGCAATAAGCAACAGGGAAAAAGGGTTTTCAGGACTGCAGGTTTAGATTTAAGATGATGCACTGGGAGAAGTCCAAGATTTAGATTAGATGTTAGGAGGAAACTTTTCACTCAGAGGGTGGTGAGGCCCTGGCACAGGCTGCCCAGAGAAGCTGTGGATGCCCCATCCCTGGAGGTGCTCAAGGCCAGGCTGGATGGGGCTTTGGGCAACCTGGGCTGGTGGGAGGTGTCCCTGCCCATGACAGGGGGATGGAACTAAATGGATTTTAAGGTCCCTTCCAACCCAAGCTGTTCTATGGTATGACTCTGTTCTATGATAGGAAGTGGAAAGCAGGCACACGAGTGACATTCCCTGCACATTGTAAAAGTGTTTCTGCAGAGAGAGAAGCAGAAAATACATGTGCCACACCTGGGTTGCCACCACTGATCCCTCACTAGCTACCCCAACGGCCTGATGCTGCAGGTAGTGTCTCCCTAACCTCTGCCTGCTGGAAGTCCCAGAGCTACTCTTTAATCTGCCACATAAAACCTGGCAAAATCTGCATTCACCTGCGCTGTGATTTCCTGTCAGTGACTCACGTTGTGTTTTTATTTTGACTAGGTGCCACCTGAAAGCTGCAATTTTGGAAACAAAGATGGTAAACAACTGTGAGCAGCCTGTAATTTCTGCCCCATATGGATGGAGCAAGGCAGATAGGGGTGCAATGTTCCTGGACTGAGGCACTGTTTCCTTCTGAGTGC